ATTAGGATGAACCTTCTCACTAGGAGGGTAGTAAAACACTGAACAGGTTACCCAGAGAGGTGATGGAAGCTCCATCCTTAGAGGTTTTCAGAACGTGGCTAGACAAAGCTTTGGTTGGGATGATTTAGTTGGAGATGGTCCTGCTCTGATCAGGAGGTTGGACTAGATGACCTCCTGAGGTCTCTTCAAACCCTAACTTTCTATGACACTAAATGTGGGCTCTAGTCTCTGGAAAGAGAAGAGGGATTTGATCCTGAGCTTCCCGAATCCCAGCTGAGTGCAGAAATCATGCCCCTTTTCAGTAGAAGAGGGAATGCTCTTCCCTGGTTTTGTGTTTGTGTGAGGCATGATCTGATGGGCATGGCCTAAGCATTGCCATTGCATTGTGCCCTGCAAATGACCTAGGAAGGGGAAGAGCTGGTTTGTGGTTCCCAATGAGGCTTTAAGCACCTGGCTGTTTGACATGGTCACTATACAGGCAGAAGTTTAGGCACCTTAAACTGGCAAAATCTAAGGCTTCTGGGATAGTCAATTGTGACTAAGTGGGGATTCTCAGCATCTACATTTTGGATATAGATGCCCAAAGCAGCAGCAAGGTGCTTAGACCTGAAATGTAGGTGCCTAAAGCAGTGGGAGTTGGCAGCTGAATATCTTGAGGACCTAGGTCCAAAGTCCTTTTGCGAATCTAGCCCAGTTCTAACACTTAATTCGACTCCTCCCTCAGCTCTTCCCTCTGGGGGACAATTTCAGATTATGCGGTCATATGCTACTTCCCAAATACAGCTAGTGTGCGAATTTTGTTCAAAGCACAGAAACAGAGGCCTGGTTTTGTTTTGTTTTTTCACTCCTTTTTAACTTTGTGGAGATTCATTTGCACCTGTGATATAAACTGCCGCCACCAGTGTGATTGAGGAAAGCTGCTTTCCTCACATTTTGCTCCCTGAACACAGGCAAGCGGGGTCATGTAGAAAATGAGATGCCTTGACATCAGTGGGATTGCTTGTATCAATAAAAGCAGAAGAATTTGCCTTGCACACTTGGGAGGGAATGGAGGAGGCAAACTTTCAGCTGCTTGATATCGTGGCACTATTGAAGCCAATGGATCTACAATTATTGAAATCAGCTGAGGTCGCCTGGGTGAAGGTGCTGTGTTTAGGAGCTTCTTCCTATTCCCCCAAATGGTCCCATGTCCTTTAAGGATGCAAGTTAAGATAACGCTCATCTGAACAGCCTTGAAGTATGTCCTTCACTTGTTCTCTGCACCTGGTCTCTCTCTCTTTCTCCCTCCCTCTCAACTCTCTTGACTTAGGCAAAATAAGAATCATGCTGTCCATTGATGGCCTTCTTTGAGAAATTGCCCTTGATGGTGTGGGTGCTCACACAGGACATCAACCTTATAAAAACACAGCCTAGAAGGCGTATTTCTTGAAAAGGCTTGATACTGGGCCAGAGCAAATGGCTCTGTACACAGAAGTCTCTTGGTTTTATAGCTGTGTCCTCTCTCCAGGTCCTTAATACTTTAAAGCGGTTGCTGCAGGCTTCTGATGCATGCATCAGTCCCGCAGCTTCAAGGGGGCTCCAGTCACTGCGTGTGTCTGAGCTGAGGACACTAGAAAGCCTATGTGGTTCCCTGCAAAGTCTTCACAAAGCCTTCAATGGCAACCACACTCACCTGGGCTGGCTCAGGTGACGGGGAATGCTAACCTGGCCTTGTTCTAATCTAAATCTCTTTGAGCCACAAGCCCTGTCTGCACGTATGGCAATGGGGGCTAAATACAGACCACCAAAAAACCTGAGGCTGAATTGTTTCAATCTTCACATGTTAGTCTAAGCTGCATACATTTGTCTGCTTTAAGCAAGTGAACAGACATTCACTTTTGATTCGGGAAATGCAGTCAGATGCCTGCAGTGGCTCAGGCCAGCCGCCAGGGGGTGCTAGAGCACGGCTCTCTAGTCTGCTGGAGCAGACGGCTGGGGCCAAGGCTAGCTGACCCACCCTGCGATTGGGGGCGGTTTGCAGGACAGGTGCAAAACATCCTAAGATGCCGGGGGACTGAGAGTTAACATGAATCTGGAGGGGATCTGGGACAGAACTTCATAAAGTGATTCAATCTTTCTCTGTCTCCCCATGGATGTTTCTTTCTCTTCTTTCTTTCCCTTGTTCGTGAGACTGGCAATGTCACCTTCTTTCTGCGCTCTCTGAGTTTGTGCCTGTTTAAGATCTTAAAATGTGAGGAAGGTCATAGATCTTAATAGTAATAATATCAGCACATGTTAATGCAACTTACTTGACTCACCCAGGTTTTTCCATGGCTACAGTTGACAGTGCAGTCTAGTGGTCAGGGAAGGGTACAAGGACTCATGAGACCTGGCTTTAATTTCCAGCTCTGCTACTGACCTTCTCTCTGACCACGACAAGTCTCTTCTTTGCACTATTCCCTTTTACACCCTTTGCATGTCTACCTGGAATGGAAAGTCTTTTGAGGCAGGGGCTGTTTCTTACTATGCATGTCTACTTGAGGCAGGGGCTATGCATGTCTCAAGACATGCATGTCTACTTGAGGCAGGGGCTGTTTCTTACTATGTGTGTAGGTGCAGTACTGAGTGAGCATGCCACAGGCTCGGTTTTATTCAGAGTCTAGGTCCTGCCTAAGAATGCAAAATAAAGGCTGGTGGAAATGTGTTCTGTGCACCACCGTACGAAGTAGTAAAGCAGACAATGAGAAGACAGGGATGCTCTAGGGGCTAGTCTGGGTCTCAAAAACCTGGGGCATTTGTACACGCAACATTTTTTGCCCTTTCCTGTGCTTTAACTGCATGACTGTGTACACAGACGGGATTTCCGGATGCTTTAAAAGTAAAACTCCTTGGCTGGAGTCAATTCCTTGCTCTGCTCAAGGTTTCTGGGCAAAATACTTAGCTTTCCTGTGCCTCTCTGGAGTGCTGTGAGGACAAATGCACTACTAACTGGGTCTCGCACAGATACTAATGTGTACCCTACTGGAAGACAAATTCTAGATAGCACATTTTTAAGAGTTTCTGTAACTTAAATCCTTGGGGGGGGGTTTGTTTTTTGTTGTTGTTTTTTTTGTCTCCACCCTGACAAGCTGACTATTAATGACTTCTGTTCTTAGCTTTCTGCAACTCTCTGAGGCCACAATAACCTTTCTTAGAGAAGTAATCTCCCTGGACTCTGGCATTGCAGTTTCAGAGTTCATTATGAAGTGATACAAAGTACTTCCAGTCTTCCTGCCGCGGGTGATTGCTGCTCCCTCAACTTCTGAGCCAATCTGTTCTTCTCCCTACAAAGAGATTTTATGCTCAGGAGGATGGCCACCTGATGGTTTAAGACTCAGTCCTGAGAACAGGTCTTTCTTATGCCACCAGTCCCTGTCACTCCAACACAGAGTAAAGCCTATTCAGTGATTTGCTTTTTTTTCCAGCAGGGTTACCCAGCGGGGAGGGTGTTGCAGGATTGCCTGTTTAGATCGGCTACAAGAGAATTCGATTTTTTGTTTTGTTTTGTTTTTGGAATAAGTTTCTTTCCTGAATACAGTTTAGGATGTGATCTTACTGTTTTTTGACCAATTTAGGTTTAAAAAATGGTTAAGGCTTAAAAGATTTAGGTTTAAAAGATCACACCCTCTACTTAGAGGGGAGTTGCCCACAATCTAGGCACCCCCTCCCATGGCTTCTGAAGGCTTAGTAACGTCAATAGACACAACCCCATGCATGTCCTCCTTGGACCTTGTGCTTCTTGATCCAATCATAGCTTCAGGACTGTTGTAGAGAGGGGTGTAAATCCCCCCCTTAGAGTTCCTCCCAGCAACTTTCCTTTTTCAACAGGATTTTCTCAGATATTTCCCACATGGTGCAAATACCACCAGGACTTTTAAGGACAGCTTACAAGTCTTGTGAGTCATCACATTGACCTCTTTTGATGCATTTGATTGCTGTGACCTTGCCTCGTTTTGGGATGTTCTTTTCTTTTTGTGACGGAGCTCCATAATATGTGTGTAGTATAGGGAAACAGCAACCGGTTGGCTTGATGCCATGCTCCCCTTGCATTTTAGACCTCCCTCTTGAAAAGGAAGTCTCCAGTAGGTTGTCCAGCCAAGTGAGTGCTTTTCCCACTTTGTTCTTGTGATTTCTGGAAGAGAGCAAAAGCACACTGTTTGACTGAAATCTTATGTAAGCATTTTAGTGTTTGGTTCTACAAAAAAAAAGATCACCCCAGACACCCCCAAATGCTCTGGCCCTTGTTTTATGGAAGAAAGTGGTTATTTCTTTCATAAGGAGCCTGCAAGAATTCTTTTTTTTGGCAAAGTCAGTCTTCAGTCCCATTGCCTTCCTTATTTTGGCCGCGTCCACTTGGAAAAACTGGTCTGTTTTTGCACTGAAGCACGACCCTTCTTTTAGGACAGGTCCGTTTTTTAATTGATTACAATGACACAGAAACCCCCCAGAAGAGAAATCCTGGCCTTGAAGACTATAGCAGAGTTTCACTGACTTCAGTGGAGCCGAGGTTTCTCCCTTGAAGTCGAAAAGGCTTTGCATTGGGGAACAAATATTTTGGGCATCCTCAACCCTCCCGTTTGTTCCCTGCTGTGTCGGCCCCTCCGTAATGCATCATCAGGGCTTGGAGAAATTCTCCCTGATGCTCTTCACCACTGTCTCTCTGGGAAGCTGCTGGAGATGCATTGCTCTTGGGTCTTTTTTTTTTGAGTCTCCCTTCTGCTCTGTCCCCACCTGCTGCTGCTGCCACTGTTGCTTTAATCCACGTAGTGCCTTGCCGAAACATGGGCTGGCTCAAGCATGGCAATCATTAACCTGATCACAGAGCCAGAGTGCTGGGCCCCGCTCCACGCAAGTGGTGGCAGCGGCATCATAACGAGGAGAGCAGAGAAGGTGAGCGGTGGAGAAAAAAGGAGGGAGAAGGGTACATTTATTATTGTTGTTGTTCCCAGCTCTGCCACAGCCTGTGTCTGAAAGAATCGGGAGCTGGAGCAGCTGTTGCACTGAGCGGTGCTGCTGCTGATTTCGGTCACCATAGCAACAGCATCACCACCAGCATCCTCCTCCTCTTCACTCACTCTCCTCCTCCTTAGCATCATCAGTACCAGGAGCAGCAGCAGCAGCCCTGCCAGGAGCCAGAGCCCAGCCGTGGGGACTGCAATCAGCTAGCTGCTTTTCTGTCCCTGCTCTCACCACCACCACCGGACCAGCAGCCACCACAGCCTCACTTCTTACTGGGGGAAGGAGCGGCAGCAAGTTGACGGAGGTGCACTGCGGAGGGACCCAGAAAGACCCAGGTAAGATCGGCCGCGCTGCTTGCAAACTCTCCCCTTGATCGATGCAGTTTGGAGATGTGTGTTTTGCTAGTTTGCTGGCTCTCTTCTTTCAAAGGCATTCTAATGACATTTCAACCCTGCATGTTTCCCAAGGTATTTCTGGCCATCTCTGCCATCTGGCCCCTCTCTCCCACCCTGGCAGGAGCAAAATAACACATCCTTGCCATAGACCAGCGAGACTGCTTAGAAATGGGGTGATCAGGGGAGCCCAACGTGATCAGAGTACGAATGACTTGAGCTGTGGACTTCCAAATAAAAGTGAAAAGTAGCGACGAAGCAACGGCTGACATCATTTGTAACCCTTAAAAAAAAAAAAATCAAGAAAATCCATACAACGGTGCATTTCCTTCTGCCCACTCGAGAAAACAAATCTCTAATCCGATCCAGGAGGGAGATAGAGGTTTGTACACAGTCTGGAGAGGAAACCTCCTTGTCATTTGTAGCTGAAAGGCTACTGGTCTGTGCTTTCGAACAGCAATACATACAGCAGCTACAGTTCATTTAATGGCTCTTTAATTATCATTTAGAAATATTTACAGAGTTATGCATTCTTTAAAAAAAAAATCTGGTTAGACTGATAGTAACGGCTGAGAGATTAGGGAAACTCACTTTCTCGGTGTCTAGGAAAAACATTGTGGGTTCATTTAAAGGCTGTAAAGAGCATCAGAAATGCAAAGGTGGATATGCATGTGAATCATTTAAAACTAAGTGAGCTGTACGTTGTCTATGTAAAAGGCTGTGTGTGTGTGTGTGTGTGTGTGTGTAGCCGGTAGAAGTAAGTTGAAGCCAAGTGGTAACTGTTCGCTATGTAATCACTGCAGAGAACTCCTTCTCTCGTAACGTAACTAGTATCTTTTCTCAGCAGCAGAGACGTCAGCAGCAGCTATCTCCTTCCTCAACCTCCCTCCCCCCAGTGATCGTTGCCTGCATGGCTGGAAATGCACCTTGCTGTAATGGCAATCAGCATTTCAATAAAAAGGGTTCCAGACGCTGCTGAATCTCGCCCTGTGCAAAGTCAAAATGATAACCCTGTTTCTGGTCGGGTTTACTTTGCGGAGGCAGTCTGGATGCGGCTGACTTTGGGTGTTGTACCCTAGGCTAATGGGCATAATTGTTTCTGTTGCAAGATGACCCAAAATGAGTGCCCTGGGCCCAGTCCACTGGAGCTGGAAGATGCTGTCACCCGTCAGAAGGTGCTGCACATGTCGCAGGATCAGGCCCCTTATTTCTCTGAAATGAAATACACTTACTGTTCGTACAAGCTACAGGGAAACAGCATATTTGCAGGCAGTATTGTACAGCTCTTCCGTATGGAAGAGTAGTAGAGTAATGAAGAGAACTGCATCCCTCGTATAGAAGTCGACTGGAAAGGTTTAAAAAATGTCATAGGAAGATGAACGCCGCATTCATAGATTAGTGGAACAATTTCCCAAGACCCTGTTTGGTATTCTCTTTACTAAAATCTCTAAAACTTCCCCAGACAAGGTTGGCTGGCCTATATTAAGATCCTTTACAAATGTGAAAGGGGAATTGGAAGGGGCTCTTTTCTGGTCTTGATTCCCCATAAGCCCATGCACCACAAGACCAGGTTTTCCCAAAAGATATACACTGCACAATCCTGGTCATGTGCATAATATAACTTTGGGTAGGTTCACTTTTTCCTGCTTTAATGCTAGAGGAATATATACAATTTGGAAATCTTGTAGGGAAGGGTAGGGCAGGGCAGGGCAATTCAGTGAAAGGAATTTGAAGCTGATAATCAGCGCTGATAAGTCAATCGCAGCATTTTAATCTATTTTGTACATGGTGCAGGGATATTAAGCACATAATCAAGGGGCACCGTTGGAAAAAAAATAGAGCAGAGAAGCTTTCATCAGTACAAACAAATGATTAAAGGTCAAGGGGCTTTGGGATTACACACACATAACATCTCCCAAATATTATTGTGAATTATTACTTTGCTGTTGGCTGGAGGCATATGATTGCCTAGAAGCTAATACAACATATTCGCTGGCTTGATTATGACGGGGTTGCAAAAGCCCCCTAAAATGGCTCTGGGAAAGTCAGGAAATGAGTGTGTGTTTCATAAAATAGTTTAGCAGAATGAGGGATGCCACTTTATGTAAAGGCTGTCCAGTGGTGGTGTTCATCGTGGGATTGTCACACATGTAAAATAACTGATTTTGAATGATCAATGCCACTAACTTTCACCAGCATCTGTCTGCATCCAGGTTCAAAAAGGGCTTGGACAAATTCTTGAAGGCAAGGGGCAGCAGTAGCTATTGAGCATGGGAGTTAGCAGGGCAGTGTCTGAATCAGAACTTCCTAGACCTGAAATGTTGGAGGCTGCAAGTAAGAGAGGAAGAGTGGGGAAAAAAACCCCAAACCCTGGCTGTACCCAGTTTGTTCTCCCTTACAGTGCCCACTCTCTGCCATTATGTGATACACGATACTGGGCAAGATGGACCCATGGTCTGACCCACTCAATGGCAATTCTGACCTTCTTAGCCAACAACCATGTCCCCCGCACACAGAACTAAAGCTTCGGAAGTGCCCCCCCCCACCTCATTTCATCCAATGGCTTTATTATATTGTCATTTCAAATTAATTTGAAAGATCACAATCTCTTTCACTTTGCGCTACAGTCGATGGTTTTTCTCTTGCTGTCTATTTAGTATTGGACAGTGGAAGTAGAGGAAACAATAGATTTCATCTATGAAATCTATAAACAAAAACACTAGTTTTGTACCTGAAGCTATGAAATATCTTTTAAGAATGCAGCTGCTTACTTTTACTGGTCACCCTCTATGTCTCACTGTGCTTAAAAAAAAAAAAAATGAAGCTTGCATGGTATTAGTTGGCCATTTCAAAGTCTACACTTGCCAACAGGTTGAACCTAGAGTTCAGGACACTGCAGCTCAGCTCTTATCAGCATAGGTGAAGCTGCAGTCTTCCTGAGCTCGCTGTGCAACCAGCATGGACAAATGAAGCTTTGTTGACGGCAAACACTGTATCATATTGATTTAGATTTTGAAAATTCATCTTCACTTTACTGAGAGGCTTTGTGGTTGTTTTTTAACTCAATAGAATAGCCCTGTGTGTTTTCTTTCTCTTCTCACAATAGCATTAAAGTTATAGTTCCTTCACTATATCCTTCAATTAGGTAACAGTTGACATCTTAATAAAACGTTGCAATTAGTCGGGGAGGAAGCTTGCAAGAAGTGATCTTACGGAAGATCTTGGCAGATGCTGAGCACTACGGCAGTGCCTTGGGAAGCGATGGGAGCTTCAAACGCTCAGCACTCGGGAGATCAACAGCCCCTTGCCCCTGCATTCTGTCTTCCCGCTAAGGGACGGTTGCTCCCCACGAGATCGGAGATCCAACCACGTATTCTTTATTGAAGTATGACTCGTGGTAGTGCAACACTGACCTGTCTTCCTCTAGTGACCATCTTGGACGGGTTTTGAGGGATGTAGCTGCTCACACTTCTAGCTGTGTAGAGTCCTCAGTTTTGCCCCAGTGGCTCCAACCCATTTGCAGCTAAAAACAAAACCCCTTCTCCCAGCGCTAGGTGAATTTGGATCTGGACCTATGCTTCATGGCCAGAACTCACCCCTTTTCTTTTTCTGTATATACTGCCATGCTTGCCCTGGTCTATACAGCCTGTGAACGACCCACCTTTTATATCTGTTGTTTCGCATGTATTTCCTGCAGTCTAACTGGAACGGGGTCTCCCTGCCCCAACCCTCCCCTCCCTGCCTTGCCCACTGGTACTTCACAATATACTCTTCATGGAGAAGCAGGGCCCACCTTCCAGAGAGACCTTTTATGATGCTGCTCCAGGAAGGTAATGCGTTGGGGCTACTCGAAGGGTGGTTGCAGTTGCTAGGCTGATTTGAGCCCTGGCGCAGAAGGTCAACTCCATCAGCTCAGTGACATGTCTGATTCTCAACCAGCCCAGTGAGTGAGTCACAGGTTGGCTTCTTCCAAACATAAATCCAAAGGATATAATTTTATTCTCTCTCTTATCCTATCATTAGTGCCTGCAATGTTAGTGACTCTATTATTCAGCAGTTTTACTTCTCTGCTGTCTGACTGCAGCAGGCTATGCTTCCTAAAGAAGTGGAAGGAGGGCAATCCTGTTCCTTTCTTTGGGCCATGCTGCTGATGTTGATTAGCTCAAGTTAGGGTTGGAGTCATCTTTTTTTTTCTTTTTTTTTTAAACTGAGTTTCACCACAAAGGTTACATGGTCATGGCTAAATACTGGCTGAACTTAGTGGCTCATCAGGCTAAATGTGATGCCAGCTGCTTTAGCCAGCAGCACGTTGTATCGTGTCCCTGCATCACTGACTCCCGAATCTGTTTTTCCAGGTATCCATTTAGCTTTCAGCCCGTGTGTGGAGCAGGGCTTATGGTCACACCTGTGAAGCAGTGCTGAGATGCTTTAGTCACTCTGCTATCACATCCCTTCCACAGTGAAGCCACTTACAAAAGTCTTCTCTTGTGCACTTCCTTCTCAGGAGGTGCATCTTCCACCTGCCTACTGCTCTCCCATTCCAGAGGCGCCCGGGGTTCAGTCCTGAACTGATTGCTTTCTGTATACATAGAGTACAATCTCTCTTCTGTTGAGATCTGCAGCAGCAGCCTTGTTCATTAAAAACACACCGAGCCTGATAACTGGTAAAGCAGTCAAGACTTGCTGCAGATGACAGGCACTAGATATACAAATGCACAAGCCAGGGGTTTGGGTTTTTTTGTTGGTTTTCTATGTATGGCATCTGATTGAGCTGACTAATCCCTGCAACCTTAGGATCGTAGGTTTAGGATGGTAGGGTGTGCCTCAGCTGGGCTTTTGGACAGTAGTGGGGTTTGTTCTTGTAATTCTTGCATCAATACTTCTTAATATGTTCGCTGTCAACAAAGACACAAATAAGTACATATTATTTTTATTAGTTACTG